TCTTATAACACATAGTTTAAAAAAGTACAATATTTTGTACATCAATTGTGGATTTTTTGTCACAGCAATTATAAGAAAAAAAAAATATTTTTCAACTGTCATTTGAATTTCCCCTATCTGATAGGGGTGTTAGTATGCGTGGACGAGCTCCAGTTACGTCAAATTGACGATCGTACGCATTGTTTACAAAAGCAGATAAGTTTGTTTGAAAAAGTAACCCGGTTGGGGTTGTTACGACATATTGAACAATAGTTGTTGGGTGATCCTGGACAATTCTGGAGGGGGCCTGTTCGCTTTGCCCGTTCCTATTGTGTAGCTACGGAACTAACGTGGGTAGATCCCCTTTTCGTGGTACGTTACGGGATGTAAGATCTGCCACCGATTCCTAGTCCTGACTACTTCAAACTTGGGGAACAGGATTTTTCAGTAATCAAAGGAACACATCCCGAGCAAAGTCTAAGATCAAATTGAAATCTAGATTTGATGCTGTGATTTCGCTGATAATGATTGCTCAGGTTGCTGTCGTTTGGTCGTTTTAATGGTTAAAATATCAAAATTGAGAGCAAAAAAATCTTCCTGTGACATCACATTAAAACTATTTCTGCTATCAGTGAGAGCAAACTGAAAACTCAATTTGATATCAGTTTTCCTGTTGATAACAAAACAAGTATTCAATTTGATGTTATGCTAAGGCAATGAAAATAAACCCGCAGCAATATATTTTTGAAGAGCAAATGTACAGCAAAATGAAAATAAAATTTGTCAATTGCATAAACTGAAATCAAATAAGGATTTCATTTTGATGTTGATATCAAAACTTGATTTCAATTTGCTGTCATTTTGATGCTGGACTTTGCTCGGGATCTTAGTCCTTGTTACTTTTTTATGCCTTGATGATAGTGACAAGACTCGGCTTTGTCTACCGAGGATGATCTTGAAACAAGGAAAAAATGAGTTAGTTAGTCCTTATCATGTGCTTCCTAATCTTCTATTCGTTGTTCCCTAGTTTGAAGACTAGGGTTCTGATACATGGTCATTATCAATGTCATTCCTTAATATTGTTGCTAAGGAATTCAATTTTGGTTGACAAAGGGGCGCACCTTTGGAGAGTGTTTCAACACTCCGAAAGTTATAAGTAGCGGGACCTCCAATTAGAGTCGGATCCTTGCGATAAATGCAAGAATAACAACTGTAAAAAAATACTTCATCATTTCTCAATAGTGATTAAGTAAGACGACATGCACTAAACTAAGGACACGGGATATACTACAATAGACCAAATCACTGGTCGCATTGGTGTTAGGTCCCGAACAGAGGAAAAAAACGATGACCCGAAAAGGCTGTCAAACATTTCTTATGGGGCCAAATAGAGAAATACACTTTTCCCATACGGTCTCTTACTCACAATTAAATATATCTTAACTCATACGAATGATTGAAAAACTGTGAACTGCAAAGTTCGAGAAAATTAATTGGGCTTTTCGATCAAACAAATTATTCACGAGATATATGTTTTTCTATTGATGCGTATCATTTTTGCATAAGCCCTTTTCAAGTGTTAGTCGTGTACAAAACTAAATGTAACATGGCATGGTGGACAATAACAAAAAACTGTGTAAAATAACAAGTAGGGTAGGAACTAATTCTGCCTAATCGCCTATTTTGGGCCTATCGAGCAGAAAACTTCAAACAAATCCATTATTCTCAGAAATAAAAGAAGCGCTCGGACAGAATCAATTTTTATCATCATCCGATAGGCCGAAGTGAATTCAAAAGCGTTTGAATGGCGGTTCAATGCGTTAGACCAAATTTAGAATCCGTAGGCTGAGTTTGGGGTCAAGCAGCATTGTTAGATTTTTAGGAATATCTCAACAAGTTGATTCTTTTTATCAAATCTTATGGTACGCACGGACAGGTTAATAAATTTAGAAGTCATCTGCAATGTTTTTACCATTTTGTGAAAAAATCCACTCGAAAAATAGGGTGGGTTTTTCTGAGTAGGCCTGAAATTTAGATCTAAGCCCTAATTGTAAAATCATCGATCCGAAACGATTTGCTAATTTGTGTGGAACTGCTGAACTCTCGATCAGCAGAGTAGGCAGCCCCTGAGGGAAAAGATAAGTTGCATGCTACCTTCTAAAGTTATACTACTTGAAACTATTTTTTCAGAGTTGAAGTTTAAATGTATAAAAAACACCATTTTCAAAGTTGTGGTGCTAGGTGGCGTTGCAAACGTCCCAAACATCACCAAACCTAATACCCTAATATAAATTATATGCTTAACAACTTTGTCAAAGACCGGAAGATGATCCGAGTTGATCTTTTTTTCCCTTGATTTGTTTTCCGTGCTGAGCACCATTGCTACCGACGCCAGAGAGGCATCTCCCACACCTGGACCCTACCTATCGTTTTGCATGTATAACTTTTCCAAATTCCTTATTTCCTCATTGTGATAGGTGATCACGCCATGATCCACCTTAATCCGCTGACTTGCTCCTGCTTGGTGCAGGACCAAGTGCCACGCCGTCCGAAGCGGTAATGAGCAGAGGCATGACAACAGCGCTGTTTTATATCTTTTCAGGTTCAAGCAGAACGATGTACAATCAAATGGTACTCGTTTATGACGACTGCGTTAGGGAAAATCGTTTATTTAATGAAAACAGAGATAAAATTAACATTTGTACATGACTACATAACTTTTTGGGATCGTTTTCCGAACATAGAAAAAAATCAGAGTTTGTTGGAAATGCTAACATGAAGCTTTAGTGTGATGATTTATTAGCTAGAGAATGATCTTTAGAAGAGGGTAGGTGGATAGTTCCGTTAGAGTACGACAGTATGAAAATTGAATAAAAATTGAAAATGAGCGAAGGGCCATTAATGCGACAGTTTTTCAAGATAGACGCACATTTTTGCCTAACCCGTACGATGTACGCGGGGACTTGAAGTATGTCTCCAAGTCCACAGGTAAAAATGTGCGTCCCTCTTTTTGCTCATAACTGACTGCGGCTGTGGAATAGTTCTAGCGACGTTTTCATCACTACCTAAAGCCCCACGTTGCGAGAGCATTTCCAGTCGATGGTGTGTTATAATACAGTTCGACAGTGAGCATGCATAAGGGCCTATACGCGATGATCGATTCTCTTCGTCGATTTTCTCTTTCGTTAATAACTCGTTAGATTGATCGTTTATCGGGGCGTTTGCTGTTGCATTGAACAAATTCTAGAAAATTGTTTCGCTTAGCTGTAGCAATGTAAAGAGAAAATCGATGAAGAGAATCGATCATCGCGTATTCGCCCTAATGCATGCTCACTGTCGAGTTCTTCTTTACCCAACTATTGTGTTGCTCCTCTCGTCATGACCAACGTGATCATCTCAGAGAGAAAGCAGTAGGGTGGTTGTTGCGTGCTGTACCATCATCAGCATTGTTGACGGCTTCTCCCGCCTTGAGTTGTTACATTCAAAGTGTTTTTATGTTACTTCATACGCGAAGTTAACGATTTTCAGAGTTGGTTGGAAATGCTAACATGAAGCTTTAGTGTGATGATTTATTAGCTAGAGAATGATCTTTAGAAGAGGGTAGGTGGGGCTTTAGGTAGTGATGAAAACGTCGCTAGAACTATTCCACAGCCGCAGTCAGTTTATGAGCAAAAAGAGGGACGCACATTTTTGCCTGTGGACTTGGAGACATACTTCAAGTCCCCGCGTACATCGTACGGGTTAGGCAAAAATGTGCGTCTATCTTGAAAAACTGTCGCATTAATGGTCCTTCGCTCATTTTCAACTTTTATTCAATTTTCATACTGTCGTACTCTAACGGAACTATCCACCTACCCTCTTCTAAAGATCATTCTCTAGCTAATAAATCATCACACTAAAGCTTCATGTTAGCATTTCCAACCAACTCTGAAAATCGTTAACTTCGCGTATGAAGTAACATAAAAACACTTTGAATATAGAAAAAACTGTTTTTTTAAACTAATCATGTTTTTATTACTTCATACGTGAAGTTAATGGTTGACATAGCTGAAGATCCTTAACGTCAAATATCAGACTTAAAGTGGAAATTTTATACGATAGATGAGGAGATGAAAGTATAGAGTTGATAGTTCCGTTATAGTACGGTAGTGTGAAAATTGTGTATAGAAAGTAGAAAGCGAGCAAAGGACATTTTTGAGGAAGGTACGAACCGGCTTGATCATCCCCTTTACTAAACTCCCCTGTTGAGGAGGGGTGATGAGAACCCCCCCCCCCTCCCCTCCCCCCACCACGCCAACACTGGCAAAAGGGATGATCGCCGATTTGCTCATGTACCTTCGATGTGCGTAAACAGTTCTAACACAACATCAATGGGGAATTTGGTAAAGGGGATAATCAACCAGATTCATGCCTTCCTCAAAATTGACCTTTGCTGGTGGAGGATCATTTTGTAGTCACCTTAATGGCGTATAAAATAACAAAATAGCGATTGTGTTTGTATAAAAATCATATTTAATTAAATCTCATAGAATTTCACTAAAATTACCATGAATGTGTATATATTCAAAAAGTTCATACTTTTTGCTATACAAAACCGTATTAACAATCAAAAATCAGTTGAAAAATGATTGAGTTACTCGCCATAGTATGCGATCACTTACCCAAAATCGTTTTTTTTAAACAATAACTTACAATAACAATTTCAAACGTGATTTCCTGGTGTACTTGACTAATTGTTTTTTTTTTGTAACACTGTATCAGCAATATTTTTTATTGAAAGCTGCAGGTCCTAAACTTTACTTCACGGTTAATATGAAAGGTATATAAACTCGGGAAAAAATGGGATCGCGATGTTTCCAACCAGTTTTATCCGTGCATATTCTGTAACTAACATTTTTGATTTGTTGTTTGATCGGATGAAAATCTACAAGTTGTTTAACATGTTTTAAATATTGTTTCTTAATATTCAAATTATTCAAGCTAATTGCTAATCTATTAATTCTGTTTCATTTACATTATAGAAATATGTACTTGAATAAAGTGCAACAAGAGCATGATGCATCACTACAAACATTAACCAAGGACGGTATACCGGAAACATCACCAGCCAAATCTGCCACTCCTGCCAAAAAAACAAAGTACAGTCCCAGAATGAGCCTTTTTGGCCTTGGACGAAATAACTCCAATTCATCAACACTGAACGTGAGACGGTTCAGTACAGATAGTATATTAAGTGAACGATTGGACACCATTGGACGCCGGTTGAGTAGAGACATTACTAATTCACCACCAGACCTTACACACAGGTTTGAAACTTTCGGCAAGCTGAAAGATGCAGATGGAAAATTTGACACCTATGCTGGGAAGGAATCAAAAGAAGCCATAACTGGAAATAAATTTGATACGTTTAGTGGAAAAATTGAATTTGCCAAAGATATCGAAGAAAAGGCGCCAGAATTGCCCGTTAAAAAGGGAAAACCAAACAGAAGGTCACCACTCAATCCAGAACTTTATGTGAAACATAAAAAGCATACGAGGGACGAAAGTCGAAAGTTAATTCCTATAAGTGAAAGAGTTGCACACGGCCTTGCACCTCCGTTTATAGAATCTGATACCAGTAGTGCTCTTCTACGGGATAAATTACATGAAGAACTTCGTGAAAAATATGGCTCTCATGGGTTTAGTAAAACTACTTTTAAGTCAGTCAATCATGATAAGGATTCTAAATTGCCAATAGACGCTATGAACGAAGGAAACGGACAAAGCAAAGTATCACGACACAGAACGAGGACTAATAAACATGCTAGGAAACGCCTGGTTGAAAATGATGCATTGAGAGTTACTCAAAGTGCTAAATTAATATAATCATACCAGGATCTCCACGTGGACAATGTATAGAGTTTGTTAGGAAGAGCCTATTTTTAAGATATTTTGAAAAGATGACGTTGCATTTTTATATTTTTATGTTTTTATGTACAGTTTTATCTATTTAATCGATTTTACTGTACCGAATACTATCGGAACATCTTATTTAACCCACAACATGGTTTATTTTATGACCGACTGTTATAAGCATTCGGCTAATCGTGATAAAATCTTTGTGCCTGAGAGATTACTTTTATTTCGTAGATACATCTAAAATTTAACATTTTCTATCATTAATTGTACCTTTAAAATGCTAAGCCTTTGAAAACACTATTTTTTTTTCGAAACCAATAAGCTACACCGGAGCAAGATGAATTGCGATTATTTTTAACAGTATAATATAAACGTAAACGCATCATATGACTGTCAAATCAGGTAATTACAAACAGCTTAACGTGCCTCTCAGCTTTTGTTAGTTTAATTTGTAATGAAATTTACAACAACATATTTTTTCGCAGCGCTTCAATCTTCTCGAAAAAGTTGAATTTTCTGTATTTTATCCAGTGTTATGCATTAGGGAAGCATATGGTGACTAATTAGAGTGATGATATAAAAAAAAAACCCGATCGCAAATGAGTTTTTCCTAAACATTCCAAGCATTTCAACTTGCCCCACTTTTGTGCACCCCATGGGATATATATAAATGAGTATATTGAACTCTAGGTTGTCAATTGTCAACCTCAAACATCATTTCTGTTCTGACGCTGTTCTGGTTCTGACGCATTTTTGGAAACTGTTAATCGCCATACCAAATTTCAGGCATTGATTTCCGAATTCTATTGGCACTCCTCATATCGAAAATACCAACATTGACCTCCTGAACAGTTTTGCTGTAGAAAGGTCAATACCCTCTGAATAACTTTGCCCAAGATAGCCAGGTGCATAAGTGTTGGAGAGTTCGACTGTGAGGTTTTGCAAGAAGGCCTTAATCAGAGCCGAAACGTAAGGACAAATTACAAAATTAATTTGTTCTGATGAGTGATTGCTAGACTGCCAAGCCGAAACTGATTATTGTTCAAATTAAAATAAACCGAGTAAACAAAATTGAAACCGCGTAAAAAAAACGAATATTGAGAATATCGCGAAACAATTAACCACGTTATTTTGAGAAATCGTGTTAAATAAACCGTGATATTTCGAGAAATTCCATAAAAAACGTGGAAAAAACAAACCGTGCAAAAATGGGTGCAGTGTACAGAGAAGCAAGTTGAAATGGTGGTGACTCAATACAAACAATCATTTATTTTTTTTTTTGGAGAAAAGCCGAGAAATAGCGGGTGGTGCCCGTAAAAATCCACAATGCAAAAAAACAATAGAACCTATTAATAGAAAAGGGAAGTTGAATTTCCCGAACTGCTGAAAATATTTTTTTTAATCACCAACGAACTAAACCAAACAGCTAATTAAGCTGGTTAAAAGCTTGTCCTAGCTGTTTAAAGCAATATTTGGCTGTATAAGCTTTTCTGCACCTAAAATTGTGTTTATTCTTAAACTAAAACTAAATTTTTTTTCTCTTATATATTCTCCTATTGTTCAAAATAATGATAATACATATATGTACTGTAAGCCAGTATGTGTTACACCTATTGAGATCTAATTTTCCAAGAGTCAACCTCTAGATTTGTACCTTTAGGTGAGAAAACCATCCTCTGAAAGTTTTAGCTCATTTGGTTGTAGGATGAGCTGGCGCTTTTAGTTTGAATTTTGTATGGGGAGTTTGGATAAAATATATGAAAAAATGGCACTCCTACACTCTATCGATCTTAAAAAAGTTTCCTCATTCTCAATTTGATTCAGATTTTCAGAACTTGTAGTTCAGTTCATGAGTAACAACACGGCGAATGAGAACGACCCAAATTTGAGTTTAGTTCACTCATAATCGCCAAAAGTGCAGGAACTCAGCGATGAGCAAATTTGCCTCATGTTTTCCCAGGTTTTTCCAGGGAAAAAATCCCGAATTTGAGAAAATTAAAGATTGGATTCACTCAGTCTATTGGTACTACTCCGAGACTGAATAAAATTTTCGTCAATTTCCTCATTTTCCGGCAGATTTTTTAGGTTTTCCACAGGAAATCATGAGACAAATTTAACTCATCGCTGCGTTCCTGCACTTTTGGCGATTATGAGTGAACTAAACTCAAATTTGGGTCGTTCTTATTCGCCGTGAACTTTCATTCCATCTCGCACACTGAGCCGGTCAAGTCGCATCGGTCTCGTTGTACGACACTATCATTTAAGTTTCGAGTTATTCCCCACGCGAGGGTTTTTTTCTCGCCAAAGTTAGTTGGCATAGTTTTTAAAAAACTAGTGCGCGAGTGAGGAAGCCGTTAATGATATGCCGAGTGCTTTCATTACGGTCCAGCTTTAACCCAGCATCACGCAACATCATCAGCAAAATCATCACCACTATCGGTACATACCCCCATCGATAGCAACAACGAAAGAGCGTCACATTGCCTACCGAGTCGACCGAGGTTATTGACTCTGCAGCAGTTGGATCAAACAATTATATCTCTCCAGTCTCCAGTCTGCTGCTGCCTCAGTGCAATAGGTATAAATCGTGTCGTTTGTTTCGTTGTTATATATATATATATATATATATATATATATATAACAAGTCAATGAGAACGCGTGATATGAAGGTTTGCACCCATTATTCCCAAAAACAAAAGAGGCGCTTCGACCGAATAATGTTTTATCTTCATTCGATAGGCCGAAGTGAATTCATTGACGTTTCAATGGCGTTTCAATGCGTTAGGATGAGTTTAGAATCCGTAGGCCGAGTTTGGCGTCAAGAAGCAGTGTTAGGCTTTTGACAATATCTCAACGATTGGTTTGACTTTATCAAATCTTAAGATACTTACGGAAAGGTAAATAAATTTGGTAGCCATCAGTAATAATAACATTCCGTTTGGTGCTAAACTGCGTTAGATTACGAAAGACTAAGTGCGGGTTGTGCTTAATAGGCCGGAAATGGAGTAGTTAACCCTATATATATATATATATATATATTTTATTTTTCATTTTCTATTTTTGATATTTTTTTTAAATTGCTGCAATTATTTGTAAAAAAATTACAAAAAACACCATTGCGACGATATTTAACCGCAATGGATGAAAATGATAAAGGCGGGAATGGTCGCTTTCCATCTCAGACGACGAAACTCTTAATTCCCCCTCACACGAAAGTCTCGAGGAAGTTGTGGAAATGGAAACCCTTGACGTTCCTGTTGACTCGCTCTTCAGCAAAAATACTGGAGCATATCCCAAGAAAAGGTATCGCCCACAACCCTCTCCCCCACCATCTCCTCCTCGTCAACCTGCACCCCCCCCCCCCACACCATTGCCCCCGAAAACCTCTGCGCTCCCCCGCCTAAAGGCTTACCCAGAAGCCTCGAAAGGCCCATGAGTTGTTTTTTTCCAGCCCAAACAAAAACCTTTGAACATTCCCAGGGATCTCTAAGGATCTAACAACACATTTTTCGGTCGTTACCGATATTTTCAAGGTAACACCAATAAAATTGCGCGTTACCGTTGATGACCGGAAGCAGGCTAACCAAATTGTTGCGTGCGAGCTTTTTTCATTGGAATACCGAGTCTACATACCCAGTAGTGAGTTAGAAATTGAAGGAGTGGTCACCGAACCGAGTTCGACTAGTGATGATTTCATGGGTTCCGATTCCTTCGAAATCTTTAAAAACCGTGCTTTGCCGAAGGTGAAGATATTGGACTGCCTTCAAATGCAGTCAGTATCCATCGTAGGCTCAAAAAATCGTATTCCTTGTCGAACTCGTTTTGTGTGACCTTTTCGGGTTCAGCGTTACCTCACTACGTCGCTATAGGCAAGGTTCGACTGCCTGTACGTCTGTTTGTACCTCGGGTAATGAACTGATCTAAATGTAAACAACTTGGTCACACATCGGACTACTGCTCGAACAAACCACGCTGCGATCAGTGTGGCGAGCAACATCAAGAGGGCCCTTGCGGTGCTCCTCCAAAATGCGTGTACTGCAAGGAGAGCCTGCATACCCTGACTGACTGCCCGAGGTATAAACAGCAGGAAGAAAAAATTAAGCGGTCTCTGCAAGCTCGCTCCAAGAGAACAATAGCAGAACTCTTGAAGAATACCGCTTCATCTTCTCAGACCACACCAAAAACCAGTAACACGTTTTCGATTTTGCCAGTTGATGATCTAGACTCTGACTCAGAGGGCGGTGAGGGTAGTCCGTTTGTCTTTAAAGGCAGTACGAGAAAACGAGCAAAACAACACACCACTGAAAAGCCTCGTAAGGCCACTCGTAAGGACCACCCTTCCACCTTGGAAAAAATCAAGAGGTAACGGAAATGCACCAAAACCCATTCCACCGGGTTTTAAACCTTGTAATTATGACAAGTACTTTCCGTCACTTCCAGGATCATCTAAAACCCCAGATGTCCCAGTTTTTCGGCCAGAAATGCACCTGAATAATCAGCAAGAACATGCCTCCATGTTCACGTTTTCTGGTATTGTGGATAGCTTCTTCAGTATATTGAATATCTCTGACTCAACGAGGAGCATTATTAATTTAGTGCTGCCAATGGTGAAAAATCTTTTGAAGTAACTAGCTTCTAGGTGGTCCTTCCTTGCATCGATCATATCCTTTGATGGATAATTCTCCGAACGAGGACGGGGATATGATCTCTGTTCTTCAGTGGAACTGTAGAAGTCTTATGCCAAAACTTGACACATTTAAATTTTTAGTTAACAACTCACTTTCTGATGCATTTGCCCTTTGTGAAACATGGCTCTCTTCAGACAACGATCTTGCTTTCCACGATTTCAACATTATTCGCCTTGACCGCATAGATTCGTCTGGAGGGGTGCTTCTGAGGATCAACAAGCTCCATTCCAGAATCGATCTGCCTTCGGTGACAAGCATTGAAGTTGTTGCATGTCAGGTTAACATTCGAGGTAAATGCCTCAGTATTGCCTCAGTATATCTTCCACCGAGAACTGCGATTTCTCGTCAAAGTTTCTCGGATATCTGCACGGCTATGCCGGAGCCACGGTTAATCTTGGGAGATTTTAATTTTCACGGTACAGGCTGGGGGGAACTGTACGACGACAACCGCTCAACCTTGATATACGACATGTGCGACTTCTTCAAAATGACAATTCTGAACACCGGGGAAGCAACACGAGTAGCCAAACCTCCAGCAAAAATAAGCAGATTAGACCTCTCACTTTGTTCGAGTTCACTATCGTTGGATTGCTCGTGGAAAGTAATTCATGATCCCTACGGTAGTGACCATTTGCCAATCAAAATTTCTATTACCAATGGTTCATCTTCTACTCGTTCGGTCGACATCGCGTACGATCTTACGAAAAACATTGACTGGCGAAAATTCGCGACCGCGGTTCTTGGTGCCAGTCAATCGGTTGACGTACTTCCTCCGCTGGACGAGTACTCCTTTCTCGCGCGTCTTATCATCGATTCTGCGCTGCGAGCACAGACGAAACGTGTTCCGGGTGTTTCCGTTCGCAAGCGACCTCTCACCCCGTTGTAGGATAAGGATTGCACCGAGAAGTCCGCCGCGTTTAAACGCTTCCGCAAACACGGTAAGGTCGAGGATTTCGAGCGGTACACCGACCTCGAGAAAACCTTTAAGGGCTTGACTAAAGCCAAAAAACGCGGTTACTGGCGCCGGTTCTTCAATGGTTTGTCGCGAGAGACTTCCATGAGAACACTCTGGAATGTCGGCAGGAGAATGCGAAACGCGTCATCACCGATTAACGAAGACAAGGAGTACTCGGACAGTTGGATATTCAGCTTCGCGCGGAAAGTTTGCCCAGATTCGGTGTCGGTTCAAACCCAACGTTCGTGATCGTCCGTCGGGTAATAACGAAATAGATTCCCCGTTTTCGATGGTGGAATTCTCACTTGCTCTCCTTTCATGTAACAATTCAGCTCCAGGAATGATGTCGCTAAGAGACGCTTGTTGAACTTATTCAATCAATTTCTGGAGCACAACATTGTTCCGGATGACTAGAGGCAAGTAAGAGTTATCGCCATTCGAAAACCTGGTAAACCCGCGTCGGATTATAACTCGTACCGTCCCATCGCTATGCTGTCCTGTATACGGAAATTGTTGGAGAAAATGATTCTTTTTCGTCTAGACAAATGGGTCTCCCCCAGGGTTCATGTTTAAGCCCCCTTCTTTATAATTTCCATGTAAAAGACATTGATGGTTGTCTTGATGAAAATTGCTCTACCCTTTAGTACCACCATGTTAGTAACAATAAGAGTTTTTCACAGATGGGTCAACTATAAACGCTTCCACTGGATTTGGAGTATTCAACGAATATCATAGCGCCTCATATCAACATCAAAAACCCTGTTCCGTATACGTTGCGGAACTAGCAGCCATATTCTACGCAGTAGAGCAAATTGCCTCACTACCATCTGATCACTAATTTATTTTTACATAAAGCCTTAGCTCGTTGGAGGCTATTCGATCAATGAGGCCGATGAAGCACTTCTCGTATTTCCTGACCGAAATCCGAGCAAAATTGAGTACTTTATCTAACTGCTCCTATACTATCACCTTAGTTCTTGGGTCTCATCTCATTGCTCAATTCCGGGTAATGAGAAAGCGGACTCGCTAGCTAAGGTGGGCGCTATGGAAGGCGATATTTTTGATCGACAAATCGCCTTTGCGGAATTTTTCTCAATTACCCGTCAGCACGTCCTCACCAACTGGCAACAAAAATGGAATGAGAGTGATCTGGGAAGATGGTTACATTCCCACAGGTGTCGAACAAGCCATGGTTCAAAGGATTGGACATGAGCCGTGACTTTATACGTGTCATATCAAGGCTCATGTCCAATCACTACTCGTTAGACTCGCATTTCTTCCGAATCGGGCTCGCAGGCGATATCGACCACGTGCTTTGGTCATGCACTTTACATTGTGTTGCTAGATCCGAGTTATCCGCATTCCTCAGGGCCCGAGGAAAACAACCTATGCGGCCCGTTAGAGACATCTTGGCGAGCCGAGATCTCGAATATTTTAATTTAATTTATGTGTTTTTAAAACGGATCGATCTGAGAATTTAGTAGTTAGTGTCATCTTGTGATTCCCCAAGTTGTTAGCTGCCCATTGGTGTACCCCCATGTTTGTCTTTTTCATCAGTTGGTCGCTTAGTTCGAGATAAAAAGCACATTGCTCTCCAAACCTTGTGTTCTCATCCATTTGTTACAATTTGTTACCCCTAACCTCGAGATAGCCGCGAGTAATCGGCCCCCGCTTTACTAACGTTAGTTTTAGGAAATTGTGTAATCTAAACAATGAATATCGGCTTCGCAAAGCTTCGGCAAATGAGCCTGGAAAAATAAACGCATTATAAAAAAAAATGAGTAACAACTTTGCTGAAGATTGCATCATAAATTTAGATAGTTTTATAGAAATATTCGATTTTGAATGTACACACTTAGATTTTTTTGCCGAGATGGGCACC